TAAGGTCACACAACTAAATTACTTATGAGGTCACTGACCTCTGACACAGTGTTTTGACAGCCTTTAATAACTAGTTTTCTTGAATTTTTTTTTTATGTATGGTGCTTTGAATTTTCATGTATGGTGTGTTGCTGACTCAGTTTTACCAGGACACACACACACACACACACACACACACACACACACACACACACACACACGCAGAGATACAGCCAGGATGTAACCCCTGGATGAGTCTGGTGGTACACTCGGGAAGCAGAGGCAGGAGGATTGGGGGTTCAAGGTCAGACTGGCCTGCAGAGTGAGCTACATAGAGATAGAGACACATGACCTTTCTCATTAAAAAAAAAAAAAAGACTTTGCTGTACCTCTGTCTACTCTTAGTTAAACACTGTCACACACTACCCACAGGAACACATTCAGAGACAGACTCACACCCAGCACTCCCATCCCCATGCCGCAAGGAGGTGAACGCACAGCTGAGCCCGTAGGAATGTGGGCTCACCAGCAAGTTGATGGTGATCTCCAACCCACACACTCATGGCCATCTCCAACCCACACACTGTGTGTACACCCTGGGTGCAGACCAGCGGGCACATCACCGCCTATACAGTCATAGGCACGCAGGGCCACATGTTCCAAAGCCACAGATATGCACTCGATCAAGAACTTCCCGTTCCCTCTGCTCATGTCATCCTGAGGAGCCACGGGGAAAACACTTTTGACATTCTCACAGGCCAGACAGCTTCACAAGCCCGACAGACAGAGAAACCAGGGGGCAGGCGTGGGTTCAAGATTCCTTGCTATGTGACCTTGGGCAGCTATTGAGACCTCACTGTCCCTCAGCCATCCTGGGCTACAAAATGGAGAAACCTCTGATATTATATCTGCAACTGCTGGCCAGGCTCAGAGGTTCACGAACTTGACGGTTTTCTTGTCAGCTCCTTTTTAGAGACTGGTAAACTGAGGTCTAGACAACTGATTTTCCTTAAGTCTCTCGGCTGGTTGAAATGTCCCCAGCCTCAAGCAAACAGCAGCCCAAATAGTACGCTCTACACACAGGAGTTTAGCCCTGTCAGGGACACAAGCCTAGCCTCACATATCCCTGTGTCCCCAAATCCCTCTTCTACCCTTGCTGTCCCAGCACCCCTGGTTACAGATAACCCTAATGTTTACACAACACCACCGGGAGGGGACCGGAGCAGCCAGCCTGTCCAGCCTCCTTTTCTTACAGAGAGGCTCTGAAGTGGTCACTGTCCCAGGGTGGATCAGCTCCATCCGTTCTCACTGGTGACAGCCTATCTGGGGCTCAGTTGTCCCGGCTGTAAAATGGAAAGAACAGCAACAGAGGGAGGTGGTGTGATTATCTAGAACAATCTGTGCAAAACAGTGAAAACTAGTGCATTTACTGCACAGTAAATGTTTGTTTGTATCAAGCTACCCTGGTCTTCACTGTAAACGCCATCTTTCTCTTGATAAACGGGAGGGAGAAACTGCTGGAATGGTTCGGGCCTGTCAACCTTCTCTTTGCATCCCTAGCAGAAACCTTTTTCAATTGCTCTCTTTTGTTTGTTTGTTTCTTTAGAGACAGGCTCTTATTCTACAACCCCAGGCTCACCCCAAACTCACTGTGTAGCCTAGACTAGCCTCCAGCCTTTAATCCTCCTGCCTCCTCCACCTTTTGAGTGCTGGGATTACAGGCGCCATCACCACTCTGAACCTTTAATCGGGTATTCCCATGTAGGGCTGGGGTTGTGGCTATGTTAGCAGAGTGCTTACTTACCATTCGTGGAGTCTTGGGCTCGGTCCTCTGCACCACAGAACCTGAGAGTGATGACGAATGCTTATTCCCAGAGGGTTGGGAGATCAAAGTCATCCCGGGCTATTCAGCAAGTTCAAGGCCAGCCTGAGTTATGTGAGACCCAAGCCTGACTGAACCGCAAAGAGGGGAGCAGATTCATTAGCTCACTGAGCCGTCCATCTCCTCAGTCTGGACATGGATGGGATGAATGATCTCATTGACAAATGAGGCAACTGAGGAACAGAGAGGTCAAGTAACTTGACTGAGGCAACACGGCACCAGGATCTGTTTGGCTCCTGTCCTCCAATGTACCTCCGTGGCAAGAGGCTGTGTGCCCCTCAGCTTTCTGGCCCCAGGCAACAAAGTTCCTACTAAGCTAGAACCAACTGGCCCCGTGAAACTAATCACTTAAGAGTCTCAGGCCTCGGTTTCCCCGTTTTTAGAGAAGGGATTGTAAGGCAGGAACAGTAGTGCCCCCGCCCCACACCTCACAAGGTTGCTGTGACGTCAGAGAGCTAACACATGTAAAACCTGGCACATAGTCGAGTGTGGTGGCGTCCATCTGTCATCTCAGCACTTGGCAGGCGAAGCCAGGAGAATCTTGCATTTGAGGGCAGCCTGGACCACAAGATGAGTCCAGGCCAGTCTCAAAACAAGCAAGCAAAATTACGTAAAAGATTATCACAGAGCTTGAGGGGCGTGGGAGGGATACCCCACTGGGGCCTCAGGTTGGGTTATGTGTGATTTAATGGAGAGAGTCTGTCTGAGTTTCTGGAAGCTTAGTCCAGATGAAATGTGCACATGTCCACAAATTCCAACCTCCAAAGAAAGGATGCAGAGTAATACAGAGGGGACCCAGAGCCGGCTTCCTGGGTTTGCATCCTGGCTCTTTCTCTACTTGGGCCCGACCACCCTGAGCCCCTGACCTTTCTTCAACTGTAAATTAGTCATGCAAACAACACTGGCCTGAGGGTCAGGGAAGACTAGACTGCTGGGAGTGACATTTTAGAACAAAGGTGGATGGATTTGGTGTGGATGAGACCGGCGGTATCATCACCGTCAGTCTCGTATTCAGTATTGGACCTTGGCTTTTATAGAG